AGAGAGAGAGAGGGAGAGAGAGAGAAGAGAGAGGGACAGGCTAGGTGCGCGCGCGTCATATCTGACGTCCTACCCCTCCCTCCCATCCCTTACCATGGCGCTGATGTTCTCTATCCGCGGACTAGTGGGTGGTGGTGCGCGTGCGTGCGTGCGTGCGTGTGTGCGTGGTTGTGGTGGTGGTGGTGGTGGTGGTGGTGGTGGTGCTGGTGCTGGTGGTGGTGGTGGTGGTGGTGTTGCTGCTGGTGGTGGTGGTGGTGGTGGTGGTGGTGGTGGTGGTGGTGCGTGTGTGCGTGCGTGCGCGTGCGCTGTGGCATGGCACGGGAAATGACGCCAGCGCTGCAGCGGGAGCACGAGTCGAAACGGGCGGAAGCGCGGAAATGAAGCCAACGCTGCAGCGGGAGCACGATTCGGAACGAACGGAAGCACGGAAATGAAGCCAGCGCTGCGGCGGGGGCACGATTCGGAACGAGCGGGGCCCGAAAATGAAGCCGGCGCCTCGGCGAGAGCAGCATTTTGAGAGAAAAAAACACAAGCGAAAACCCGTTTCCTGGGAATCCTGCGCGTAAGAAATAATACGCGGGGGGGTGTCGGATATCTTCGGGGCGTCATCAGGGGAAGTGGGAGAGCATTTTCATATTGTGTAATTGTAGAGGGAGAGAGAGGGAGAGAGGGAGAGCAGGGGGAGAGGGAGGGAGAGGGAGAGAGGGAGAGAGAGGGGGAGAGGAAGTTGAAGGGGAGGGCGGCAGTCCCACGAGAAGGGGCCCCCAAAACGGCGTCTTTCCTGCCCCCCCGCGCTGCGACGGCACGGGGGCCCGGAGAAAAGAAAAAAAACAAAGAGAGAGAGAGAGAGAGAGAGAGAGAGAGAGAGAGAGAGAGAGAGAGAGAGAGAGAGAGAGAGAGAGAGAGAGAGAGAGAGAGAGAGAGAGAGAGAGAGAGAGAGAGAGAGAGAGAGAGAGAGAGAGAGAGAGAGAGAGAGAGAGAGAGAGAGAGAGAGAGAGAGAGAGAGAGGCGCAGGACCGCCAACGACGTCCAGTCACGACGTGTCCGTCTCCGGGAGCCGCCCCCGAAAGTCGCTCGAGGACGCCTCCGCGCGACGCGGGGCGCAAGCGTCGCCCCCCGACGTTGTGGGCCGTCGCAAGACGGGCCCTTGGAGGTCCGGGCCCCGCCCCGAATGGAAGTGCATTTTTTCGATGGCGCGGGGGCCTCCGAGGGCCCCAGAAAGGGGGGGGGGAACCAAAGAAACTCGGTGTCCGGATTGCGTCGCGCGTCGGGGACGTGCTGGTATATTCGCCCTTTCGATGGAAAAGCGCCCCGCGGGCTGGCTCGCTGGACAGCTCTCCCGGGAGGCCGCGCTGCGGCCTTGCCCACGCGAAGGGTGGCGGAGGGACGCAGCGCCCGCGGCCGAAGATGTGGCTCTGGTCGCGGCAGAGGCCGGTGCCCGGTGCAACCGGCCGGCCCGCGCTGCCCGGCACCGGAAGTTTGTCCTTCTCTCGAACTCAGGCGCCCGCGACCCTTGGAAAAATCACCTCTGCCTGGAACCGAGCCCGCCTTCGAAACCATAGTGGAAGGACCGCGCATTTTCGGAAGCGTCGAACGGCGGGACTTGACGCCCCAGGTGTCCTGACGCGATTAGCTACGCAGGGAAGCGGAAACCACGCATGCAATCATTGCGCTCGTCTTCACGCCCAATCCTCCTGACGACGAACCGTCCTGGATCATCCCTCCTCGCCCTTCGTGGTCCACGCGCGGCCCTGCGAGCTGCGCGGAAAAATCAAAGGGCGCGGAAAGGGCGGGCAGGGCGAGGCTTTCGGGGGAGGACGAGGAGGAGGAAAGAAGGAAAGGCAAGGGGGGGCAGGACATAGACGCAAGGAGAAGAACAAGGTTGTCGGAGTAATGTTGAAACTCCCTTGGACAGTCTGGACGCCCTCTTGGGCCGTCTTGGGGCTCTCTTGGGCCGTTCCGGGGCTTCTTCTGGCGCTTTTGGTAGTGCATGGGCGCATCCTTGGTCCGCTTGTGCCGCCTGGAGCTTGGCATTTGCGTTCCGCGGGCTCCCCGCCCCCGGTGCCTCTTATTGTTGCGTTGCCCGTTTCTCGGGAATTCCTCGGGCCCCCCTGGTTCCTCGGGTTCCCGGGAAACCCCGGCTTCCCAAGGTTCCTCGGGCATCCCCGGGTTCCCCGGGCTCCTCGGAAGTTCATCTTTACCCAACTTAAGCCCGACAAGGCCAATATGATCAGGATGCTCTGGTAGTAGATGCGGCACTCCTAGCAGTGGCTCCAAGGCACGTCTTTGGCTCGAGGACCCCCGAGAAACCACGGCGGCAATGTGTGCGGTGTCAGCCGTTAAAAATATGTGTCCGCTAAGCGGATAGATTGTCGCGCGCGCATTCTATCTCTCATCCCAAACAGCTGTAGATCAGTCAAAATACTGTTCAAGGTAGTGTAATAATGCTTACAAGCAGCGGCGAGAGACGCGTAGCAACGACTCCCCCCGCGGCGGCCTGGCCGCAGCAGCCGGCCAGGGCCGACGCTGCACCATCGGGACCTCACGTCGCCGACGGCGCCGGATTGAGGCGGGCACGGGCGCGAGGCTCACGCAGCCACCAGCAGCCTGGCCCGCCTCTGCGGATCCACCTTTTCGCCATGGGCCAACGGTGTGTTTGCCAATCCCAGCCGTCGCCGCGGCGCCAGGACCAGTCCCAGCCGTCGCCGCGGTGGTCTCCCCAGCTGCCGCGACCGCCCTTGCCGCGGTCGCCTCTGCCCGCCCCCTTGCTCCCGGCCCGGCGGGGGGAGCCCCTCCAAGCACTCCAGGCGCCATTGGCGGGGGGCTGGCTGCGCCTCCGATCATGCCATGGGCGCGGGCTGGAGCCGGGCTGGCTGGGCTGGGATGTAGAAGGAGCTTCGCCACTGCGGACTGGCTCGCGCACGCCCCCGTAGCGGCATGGCCGCGCCTTCGCCGAAGGCGGGGACGTCGCGCGATCCTCCGCCACGGCGCGGGCGCGCTTGCCCTTGCCCAGCTCCGCGGCTGCAGCAGGCGGCGGGGTCGCGCCACGAGCAGCGCCCCCTTTGCCGAGCCCGGTCCGCGGTGCCGCAGTCGCCCTGTCGCCCTGCTGTGGACGGTGACTCCGGGCGCGTTTGCGACTGGCAGACCGCGCAGACATTGCAGCCGTGGCCGTCGGGCGGCTCCTCTGCTCCTCGCGTGCCATGGGCAGCCTTGAGGTTGGGCGCTCTTGATGAGGATCGAGCGCCGCCACTCCGCGCTTTCCCCAGATTGCAAGGGCATGCGCAGCTGCCTCGCACACGTGCTGTGGCCACCTCTCGACCGAGGCGTGCTGGAAGGTGTCCTGCGCCATGCGTACTCCACGCCCGAGCGCCCTGGCATCCGCTTGCTGCAAGTACTGCATGCACGCCTCGGTCTTGTGAGTATCGACTGAGATGGGCGGCGCACCCTCGCGATCCAAGTACAAGTCGCGGTAGACCAAGTCCAGCATGTCATGATGAGCGCTCAGAAAGCAAATTTCACTCACAAAACTGGCTCGGCATCGGCCGACCTCCGCTAGATGAGTCCGCATGGCGTCCTCATCCGCGATCTCTGGGTTCATGTCAGTCCACGAGAAGTCCTCGATGAGCTCGATGGCCACCCTGTAGACCTGCTCCGACGTCCACTTCGCCTTCTGTGAGGGGGAGTCGGGGTCGTAGATGCAGCAGTCGGGCGGGTCGAACCATAGCTCACGGATCCTGGCCACACAAGCGGAGACGCCCCCAGCGCGATGATGCTCCTCGGGCTCGTTAGCGGCTTCAAAGAAGGTGACGAGCTCCTCTGCCGCCCTCGTAATGCTGTAGACATCAAGGCGCAACAGGTCAGCTGGGTTGTGAACGTCGCGCTCCGGCGCACGCGATTTGTCACGCTTGCGCATGGCGTTGCCGCCGAATGCACGAGACGCGTCTCCTGTCTGCGATTGCCTCGTGCGGCTGCGGGATCTGCCGCGCTTGCCATGGGCAGCGGCAGTTGGCCAAACCGAGGCCGAGGTGCGGACTTGGCCCCTCGGGGCGTCGTCCTCGTCGTCTCTGTCCTCCGCCTCGTAGTCCGCCAGATCCTCCTTGGGGGGCCAATGCGTGTCTAGCTCGTCCTGAATCTGTGCCCAGAGGTCCCAGAGGCAGGTCATCTCGGTTATCGGTGCTCCAGGCATCCCATGCCACGCTGGGCTTGATCTCCTCGCGGGTGTCAGGGTCTGTGGTGTCCCAGTCGAAGATGTTGAGGATGCCCGTGTCCGTGCCCTTGTCGGTCATGTCGACATGGCGAGACAGGTATGCCCACCATTTCCACGACGGGCAGGTAGCGCGATGGCCGGTGGGTCTCTGGCCGCGGTACTCCTGGTAGCTCAGCCATCTGCGCGCCAGTTCGTGTCCCTTTCTCATCGCGCACCTTGTTGCCATGGGCAGGGCGCTTGCCCGTCGGCGACGAGGGGGCCCGGGCCTCTCAGCCGACAACGTGGCCGTCTTCCCCGCCGCTGCGGAGTGATTGCGGTTCAACGCAGCTTTTGGAATATCTTTACTCCAGTTCTCTTGCCAGCGACCCTGTGCTCTATCAGCGTTCTCTATTTGAGTCGCTCTGGCTTTCCTTTGGCGGCTTCCCCTGCCGCTCCGATCATGGACCTCGGCGGAGGGGTGCTGGGGCCAATCCTTATGTGTCCCAACATTTCTCCAATCCGCTGCAGGCTGGAGCCGATTGGGCTGCTTCTGGGACGCCTCGTATATAATCTCTTCCGAACACGCGCCGCAGGCCAGCATGCCGTCGCGGGTCTTGCGCCCCAAATGGCAGACGAGGCACATGTCACCGCCCCAGGTGGGGGGCTCTTTGACGCCCTGCCACAAGACAGCGTCAAACCTGTGCTTAGAGACATGGTTCGCGATCCGCTGGCCCGGCCCCAGGTGGTCAGCGCTCCCCGTGTGCGGAGTGAGGGCGACCTGCAGCATGGTGAGGCGCTGGTCATAATAAACGTGTCACCTGGACTTGTCATCGGGGGCTTCCAGTGCCGCAGAGACCTGCCACATCTCCTTCCATTGAGGAATGCGGCCTGTAAAAATCTGACCCGATGGCAGCACCCAGCGCGGATGAGCCTCGACGTGCCTCGGGCTCAGGGTGGCGAAGAACGTCGCCTTTAGAATGGAAAGATCGATGTCGAGAACAGCCTGATTGGTGGTGCCATTGAACTCCCTGGACATCCCATTCTGATGAAGAAACGTTGGATAGTTGCCCTCCAACTCGGCACGCACTTTTGATCGTCTCGTTCGGCGAGATCGCGAGCCTCTTCAAAACACAATGGCTCAGATCTGTCCGCTACCGCGTTCAGATCATGGACCATCTTCGCGCGCGGTGAGATGGCAATCGTGAATGCCACGGTTCCGCATTGGCGTAGTCCCGTGGCTGCATCGAGCAGTGGAGTCGCCTCGCCGCACTGAGTTTGCCGAGCGTCCATGGAATCCATCGGTAGCAGGAGCGCCCCGCGCTTGTCGCTCATGTTCGGATCGCACCGCACGTTGCGTCGGCAAGGGCAAATGACCCTCAGGGAGTCGCCATGCACAGCGCGGACGAGAAGGGGGCGAACGGCAAGAACCATGAAGAGCTGCTCGTCGGCGCTGCCCCCGAAAGCCGCGCTGGGGTCGTCAGCGGTGTCCGTTGCGCCACCCCCCTTGAGAGGGATCTCGGCGAAGCTGTCATCCCAGTCCATGGGGCGGGATGTTGGGCCTTCCGCTGCTGCGGCCATGTCAACGCCGATTATCTGGATGTCCTTCGAGTCGAGCATCGACACTGCGTGGAGAAATCTGAACCACGGGCGGTCATAACCGACGTGCTTCAGCATGCGAATCAGCACGTCGACGTTCACCCACCCTCCTGAGCTTAGCACATGGGCCGAGCTGTGGCGGAGCAGGTGAATCACTAATCCTCCTAGCCGCAGGGCTTCATCTCGACCCAGCTCGCTTGCATTTGCATAAGGCCTGGAGCGCATGTGCGGGTGCATCGGCACCAGGTCATGGTCCGGGCCAGGCATACTCGCGCTCTCGATGGCGTTGTAACGGGCCCTGAGGTTGGTCTCCACCCTGCCGCGCCCATTGGGATTTAGCCGCCGCAAATACTCCAGGGGCGGGTCTGCCGCGCAATCTGCGTGCACGGACAGCCTGTCACTGGTGATCGTTCGGCTGGTTCGTTGACGCGGGAGTGCTGGTCCATTATTGTGGAGCTCGTCGACGTAGCGAGCACGAGGAGGCGAAATCGCCTTCAGGTTCTCCCTGATGAAGCTGTCTGTTGCCAAAAGGATGCGGCGCCGCTCATTGGGGATGAAACCTACGTAGGTCAGCTCATCGTGCTCCAAATTGAGCTCCTCGAGGTCCAGCTGGTCTCCGAAATCCTTGTGAAGCCGTCTGAAGTCGCCTTCTGAGATCTGCTTCTTCTGGGGGAGCGGCAGGGTTCCTTCGGACAAGAAGTAATCCATGTCGAACGGAGAGCCCTGCTTCTCGTCATAGGGCTTTGTTTCGGGGTCGATCTGCATCAGCGGGATACCTGCATGGCCGGCCCCATCCGATGACTCTTCTTCCATCACTTCTGGTGAGTCCTCAGCATGGCTGGCCTCGCCTGACCCCTCAGTTCCCATGGATTCGTCCTCTTCTTCTCCCTCAGAGCCGTCCGCTTCGCCAATCTCGGAGTCGGACTCAGAGTCGAGGTTGTTCACAATCTCCCCCCGGCACCATTCCTCGCATTGCCTCTTCTTGTTTTCAATGATGTCGGAAGGTGCGCGACCGCCATGGGCGTCGGCCCATCGACTGTCATTCCGGTGTCTCGGATGGCATCGATCCAGGACGGCCGTCACGGTACTGCAGAAATATCAGTTGCGAGCAAGTGGAATATTCTCTACCTGAAGAACTCCCCGGTAGGTCGTTCGAAAGCACCCTACCGTCGAGCATAGCCATACCTGCTGGACTAGAGCCGCCGCGGGCGAGGCTCGCACACGCGGCGCATGGAGGCGAAGGCCTCGTCTGGCAGCGGCGGCGGCTGGTACTCGGGCGCCTCCCCGGCCAGAGCGTCTCCCACCCGATTGTCTTTCGCGCCGATCCCTTGCTGCTTCGGCGAGCATGAGCTCACGACCACCGCGGCGGATGACGCTCTTGGACCTCTTCGGTCCTTCGGGTTCGAAACTGCCTGGGACATGGTCCACAGCTGGTTCTTCAGGTTTTATGTTGTTCTCCTCCTCCTTCTGTGCTAGGAAGTTCTGCCAGTCGAGGTCCGAGACCCCGGGCATCGACATGTCCATCTTCATGCTTCGAAGCGGCGGACGCTCACCTCGCAAACCAGCCTGCGAAAGAGGGGTCATGATATCCTGGAAGCCATGGGCTATGAGGATGGGACGGTCGAACTGGTCCGTGATTAGGCCGCTCTCATACAGTTCGCCGTGCTGCCAATCCTTCACCCGGAGGAATTCGATGTGTTTCCTCCTTATCTCTCCCAGTTCAGCTTGGATCTCCTTCTGCCCCTGAATGGAATTCGTACCGCACGCCGGACTATGGCCTGCGCGCGTGCGGAACGGGCCCCCCCCCTGACGCATCGCGTCACCGATCGCCTGTTCTATCCGCCACTTCGGAACCCCTTCCTCCGGATCGGGTGTCGGGTCAACCAGAGCCTTGTAGTCGACCTCGAAGTGGCGGGAGTGTTCTGGATGGAAGACCCAGAGATGACGCTCGTTGGCTTGGCTCGGCGTCATGAAGTAGGGCCTCAAAGAAAGCCTAACTATGAGTTCAGGTTTTTCGCAAACGTATTGCTTCCTCCCTTCTGTTCCAGAATCTATGGGACGGAAGCCTCCTTCCTCTGACGATGGGGTCGTAACCTTGCAGTCCATGGTTACTAGGATCCCAACACCCCACAGCTCAGTAGCATGGCTACACTGCTGGTACCCGGTGTCGCGGAGGGCGTAGGCGCCTTCTGCGTAGCCCCTATCCTTCGCCTTCTGATCAGTCTTGACCCTCATGTTCCACTTCTCCTTGGACAGATGGAATACACCAGCGTTAAGTAAAGCATAGAGCTTGCGGATGTCCGAGGCATGGGAATAAGTCTCCCACTGGACTAGCGTGATGCGGTCATGGACGCGCTCAGGTAGGAGGAAAGCAATCTCAAGCATGGAACACGATTCGTACTCGGAAACTGTCGCCTTGCGCCAATCAGAGAGCGCGGTGCAGGAGACGTTCTCAAGGCTTGTGGTGTGAAGCCGCCTCGGGGCCAGGCACTCGATGGCCATCCTCAAGCAGTGCTCCCGCGTGATGAGCGGGGAACGGTCCAAGCGCATCATGTTGATCACCCAGTCGCGGCCAGCGGCACGGCCTTTCAGCGAATCGTACCACTTGTCAGTATCGTAGAATTGCTCTGTCAAGTGGAACTCCTTTAAATCCGACTCCCTGTCACGGCTGATGAGCATGAGCTCGTAATGAACCGTCTGGTGGTCATGGACTATAATTTCGCTCTGTGGTGCCTTTGAGCCTCCAGGCCTCGCGCCCATGATGACGGACTTCTGGTGCGAAGCGCACGCTTCGAATAACTTCGGGCATCGAATGCGGCCACTTCCGAAGTTACAAGCAATGAGCTCGTTCTCCCCGGCGACATACGAATGGCGGAGCACGTTCTCCATGATTGCATCCCAAAGGGCCCTCCCGGAGGGGTCGGCACTGGCGGGCTGCACCTCAGCGGCAGCCCGCACTGGCTCACTCACCACGGCGGCCGACTTGGGACGCGATGCGGCGACGAAGTCCATGGCCGTGTCCTTCACTGTTGCGTCCAATACGGCGGCCATCCTTTCGTCAATGGGCAGGATCTCCATGAGATCACCTGCCACCGTCTCCATTCCGTAAATGTCCACCGTGCCATCATGGGGCACAGTGGAGCACCGCCTGTCCGCCCAGGCAGGTCGTTCGTCGTGATGTTCCGCCAGCCAAACCCTGAAGTCCTCCGAGTTGATGTCGGAGGACTCGGGCGGCCCGTACACTGGTACCCCAATGTCACCGAATTGCAGCAACTCTCCCACCTGGCAGCTCACATGGTGGCCGCCGGTGGGGATCACGCTCTTCATCATTGGGCCAGTGGCGCCCGGAGGCTTAGGCGGTGGTGCGACCGGTGGCGGCGGTGGAGCCGCTACACCTGGCGCGACAGCAGGGCGCTCCTTGATGTCGAAGGCGGGGCAGCACGGCTCGTGGCAGATCGTGGCGGCATCCATGATGTACTTCGCACGCGTGGCCACGGGTGGTCCCCCCCGCCCGGCAGGAAGTGCCAGTCATCGCCTGTCTGGTGCTGAGCCTTGTGATAGAGCTCGGAGCCTCGGAGTATCAGCATTTTCGGATTCTGGCTTGCTTCCTGGTAGAGGCTGATTATGTTTTGCCCCCGCGCCAGGACTCGGGAGGCAAGTGTGTCCCATATTCGCTTCTCGGCGCTGCCTCTGGGACACCCCCAGATCTGGCCGTCGCCCATTACCAACATGACGAGCATGGCTCCTGTTGTCTCTGCAATATGCGCCTGCTCATCCACGACGTCGTCCATCATGGATAGGGCCCAGGCGCTCCAACTCGTCGCATTGGAGAGGGCTGTCTCCGCGTCGGGCACCTTTGACTCGCCGTCGGTCGTCTTTGTGGTCGCACAACTCGTTGCCGTTCCACACGATGACTCTGCAGCGGGTCGGGCACGCCGTGGCCCACTTCATGGAGCGTAGTGAGACCTTTATATCGTCCAGGGTCGCGCCACCCCGAACGCTGGTCTGACACCCATGCGAACGCATGGTTAGCTGCTCCTTGAGAGCGCTGGACAGCGCAGTTTTCCCCTTGGCGCTGATGAGCGCCATGGTGGAGTCAGTGGAGACGAGGTACTCGATGTCTTTGTACTCCCGTTCGCCTTCGTCCATGTACGCTGCGATCTTACCAGCCCATGTCTTGGTGGGCGTTGGCCGGTGCCACGTGGTACATGGCACACCGTGGGCGGCATGCAGGTAAATAGCCTCTCCCGAAATGCGGGGCGGCATGCCTGCTGCTCGCGTGAGACTGCTGAGCGCCGCGCAGGCCTGCGGGAAGTCGAGCCTCGTGAACGCAGTAGCCGCCTCTGGCTTGATGAGGTTTGCCAGAGTCTCCCCAACGGATTTCACCGCCGCGACATAGGCGGGCGGCGGCCCCGCCTTCGGCATGACCTCTTCGTCGAAACACGGGTCGGACACGCCGTCCTTCTTGAGCAGCTCGCGACGGTATGCCGGCGCGTTCCAGAAACCGCGTGCGCCCACCCTGTCGGCCAGGGCGCGCCGGTTCTCCTTCCGCTCTGCTATCGCCTCCGCAGCCTCGGCGGGTGTGTGCGCGGCGGCAGGGGCACGCGAGGGCTGCCCCTTCTGCTGTGCTCCCGAACTTGCCGCGGCTGCCCTTGGCCTGCTATGCCCCCTTGGCGGAGGTCTCTCGCCTGCACGGGAGCGAGCAGCCATGGGCTGCTGCGTCTGCTCTGCGGCTCCAGTACCGCGGGCATGGCCTTTGGTACCTTCTTTCCCTGTCTTTGCTGGTTCCTGCGTCACGGGGTCGAAGACGTCGGACATTGTCTGATCGCCGTCTGCTTTCCCCACCGGAGGACTGGCCTCAGCAGCGGCGGCTGCTTTGGCCCTCGGGTCGTTCTCGTGAATCTGCCTCAGCTTCTCCTGGTCCTCCTGGGGAAGCTGGGGCTCCGTTTTCTTCTCGGGCAGGTCTGGCACCTGCCTGGCGTTCTCCACGGGGTCGGCGTTGTCGTCCTCGGGCGACGTCACCTCGAACTCGGGCAGCATCGACAAGTCCGACTGTCGCGAGCCGGGGACTGGCTGCTGCTGCTCGTCGGCGGCTGCCTTTGCCGCCTCCTCCAGCTCCTGCGCCCTACGGAGGCGTTCAGCCAGTCCCGATGATGGCTCCGCCGCGTAGCCGCCCACTGCTTGCTGCTCCAGGCCGCCCGACACATGGGCGGCGGCCCGAGCCGGATGGTGTGCCCTCGCCGCAGCTTTCGGCCTCGGCAACGGCGAATGCGGGGCTTTGCCGCGCCCCTCCTTCGGCGGCGGCGGGCCCCGCGGCGGCGGCGGCGGCGTTTCGCGTGCGACCGCTGGTGGCGGCGCGTGCTGGGGCGGCGCCATCGGCGGCGGTGGGCCCCGCGGCGGTGGCGGCTGCGCCTCGCCAGCGGCAGCCGATGACTGCGCGCGCTGCGGCGGCGCCTTCGGCGGCGGCGGGCCCCGCGGCGAAGGCGGCTGCGCCTCGCGAGTGGCAGCTGGTGACCGCGCATTCTGAGGCGGCGCCTTCGGCGGCGGTGGGCACCGCGGCGACGGCGGCTGCGCCTCGCGAGTGGCAGCCGGTGACTGCGCATGCTGAGGCGGCGCCTTCGGCGGCGGTGGGCCCCGCGGCGACGGCGGCTGCGCCCCGCGAGTGGCAATCAGCGACTGCGCGTGCTGAGGCGGCGCCTTCGGCGGCGGCGGCGGCCGGCCGCGCGCCGCTGCTCCTGAAGATGGCTGCCCGTGAACGGAGCGCCTGGTCTGTGGTGGCTGCAGCACTTGCTGCTCGGCCGCCTCGGCGCGACCCTGGCGGCGCCGGTTACTTCCCTCCTCGGGCTGTACATGGCGCGTTGCCGCGGGGGGTGCTTGCTGACTTGACCTTTGATCCACTCGAGCCGCAATAATCTCCTGCCTCATCTGCCCCCTGAGGTCGATGTCGGTAGTCGGCATTCTGTAGAGCGGAGCGGGATCGAACTCGAAGTCGGGCAACCCGTCCCTGACACGTTACTCCCGGTCTGGAGAGATGTAGTCCGCGCGCTTCAGCCATCCGTAGTGCACGAGGCTGTGGGCAGAGTCCTCCTCATGGAGTTCGCCCTGCGCCGCTCTGCGACCCTGGAGGGTGACACAGGGCCGCGCGTCGCGCCACCATGCCGGGATATGCAGGCGGTCCTTGACGAAGTTAAAGGTAGGGTTCGTTTTCACGTGATCCTCAAACTCCTCAAAGCTGATGCCGTCGTAGCTGCTCATGGAGCTGAAGTTTTTGAGGAGCATCCTGTGACCAAGGGCACCATGCTCGAGACCGAGGTCGAGGCGGGCCCGAGTGGAGCCTGCTCTGGGTCAGCCGTGACGCCAGTCCACTCGGCATGGTCGGGGAGCGTAGCACGAATCGAATAAAATCATTCCGTGATATGCCTGCGCGCTCCTCCTGGCTGGTATTGGTCAGCATGGCCCCATGCCAGTTCTAGGAACCACTCGAAGAGGTCACGAGGGGCCCTGGTCCGCAGCACGTCGTACAGCCGGTCGGTCGGCTCCTGGAACCACGCCTCGAGCAGCTCTTCGTTCTGCTGCAGAGTGGGGTAGGGCCCGGGCATGTGAAAGCTCATCGGCGCCCTCGTATCACACCACGGCGTGACGACGACTGCACTCAGATCATGGATCTTCCGTGCTCCGCCCATATCTTCAGGGATGTGCCAGATGGACTGCTTCCCACGAAGGACAGGAAGGTTCACGCCCTGCACGAACGGCTTCAGGCCCGCGACCCACGGTACCTTGCCTGCGCTGGCGGAGTTCCAGATGGCATTGTACATGTCGGGCGGCAGCCTGACCATGGGCTTGTATGGCGGCTTCTTGAACATTTTTGCGAGCAGCCCAACCGTGTCGAGCCCGCCGTTCATCTCGCGCGTCAACGCGTCCGCATGGCAGACCGTGTATCTGTCACGGGAGCCAGCTGAGACGTTGACGTTCGCCCTCGGCTCGACCCCCAGTACATGGTACAAATTTGGGGTCTTGCTCCACGCATGTGAGTGCGGGTTGAATGCGCCATGGCCGAGCTGAGGCGTCGGCGTGGCTACCCCACCATGCTGGATGTCCTCGTTGGAACCCTGCGTCTTGGTGAAGTAGTGGAGCTGGGCGGTGTCCCAATCGCCCGGAGGCATGACGTACTGGTCCGGCCGATAGGTATTGACTGTAGTCGAACAGCCTGAGCGATAGCGTTTCTCTCGACGCTCGTCCGACAGGATACCCTTGACGAGGGGCGCGAGCGCCATCGCCTCCTTTGCGAGAGCTATGAGCTTCTCCTCGCGGTCACGTCGCTCGAGCGCAAGATCTTGACCACGGGCTCGTATCCAAAGGCGATGGGGCAGTCCTGGCCGTTCTGAAACATCTTGCCCCAGTAGCCACGAAGCGCGCCGTGCGTGATGGCCGACATCTTCTCAACAGCACCTCTTATGAAGCAGTGTTGTTCGCGGTCGGGGCGACTGCTGCCCCTCCTTCTCAGACTTGCGGACCTGCGGGGTCCGCTGCCGATGGGTGTTGGCGCTGCTGAGGCGCCGCCGCGGAAGCTGCGAGGCGCCGGCGAGCTGCGGCGGCGCGAGCAAGGCGAAGAGGCTGCCAATCCAGCCGCGTGGGGGGGCTGCGCAGGGGCACCGATTTGAGCCATCGCGTCGACGATGGTGCTCGTGAATGCATGCAGCGTGGCAGGGGCAGCATGCGGATGGACAACAGATGCGGCATGATCAACAACGTTTCCAGAGACGGCCTCAGAGACCAAGAGATGAACCCTCCTAGCAAACTCCTCTTTGTAGTCCTGCGCCAGCTTGCAATCCTTTCCCCTGGCTTCCACGTGCTTGTGACTGCCGTCGCACCCACGCTCAAGACCCTTGGCAATGCAACACAATGGCGAAGCAATGCCCCGAGGTTTTCTCATATATTGTCCTCTCCTGTTCTTTAATCCGTATGCGCAGCCATGAAGCTGTGCATTCGCCATGTTGTGTTTGGTAAGAAATTACTTGACTTGTGGATCATGCCAGTAACGACACGGAGTCGGCCACTCGAGACATATCTGGCCTCTTCTCTTACTTACCTCTTGAGCCAATGCACGAGCTATCCAGAACAACTTCCGAAACAAGTGGAATGCGACCCCTCAACTTCTTTAATGCTTTCTCGTTGCCAGAGCGGTAGTACATGGCCTCGTTAACATACTGCCATGGCGATCCGCCCGTGCACGGCATTGAGATCCACATTGTTATCCGTCTGTCCGTGGTCACTCCTTGTTTCTTCAGTTCTTGTTCAAACTCTTCGATTTTTGGCCACAGCAAACGATTTGCCTTCTTTGGTGATCATGTCTTCTTCTTCTGTCAGTCTGACCACCTTGCATTGGTCATCGGGAATGTTACTCTGGTTCCCTAGCCGACTATTCGGTCCGCAACAAAATGAAATAAAGAGGCGTCGCCGGGATCTTTCACTGGAGCCTACTGTGGCATTATGAGCTGCACCGATAGCATGGCTTGCGAGTGCAGTCTCCTGTTCCTTCGCCTCCTCTGCTAGCATACCCGCCCGGTTATGAACACGGGGGTTGGCAGGCGCCGTCTCCTGTTCCCCAGCCTCCTCTGCTGGCGTACCCGCCCGGTTATGAGCACGGGGTTTGGCGGGCGCCTCAGCAGGGGGCTTGCCCTTGTTCTGTCTTTTGGGCTTTTCTTGGCCTTCTCACTGGGAATCTTGCCGCCGTTCCGAAGTTGGGATGGACTTAAGGCAGAGCTTCGGCTTGAGAATGCCCCCGGCCCGCGTCGCCTTCAAACGCGGAGTCCAAATGCTTCCGGCACGTCGGGGCTGTCGGGGCCACCGCCTGCGCGAGATAGGGAACCTTCGTCCATGACGGGGGTTGTTAGAATCGTTTCGTGCCGACGTCAGCGGCCTGGTCCTGCGTCGGACAGTAAGCCAAGTCAACGGTGTCTCTGGCGAACTGTTCCGCCGCGGCCGAGGCGTCGATTCGGTGAGTTCGCGGCAGGTGCATAAGCTTCTGGGGCCCACCAGCTTGACAAACCTTCGCGACAGCCTGATGGTCTTCCATGAACTCCGCCCTCGGCGCGCGACCGAGTAGCATCCCCCACAGGAGGGGCGCCGGCAGGAGCTCTCTTCGGAGCGCGTCGCCTGCGGAAACAATTCCCGCCTCCAGCGTGCTATGAGACACCGCTGTTTGTCGTTGTGAACTGCAGCTCTGTAGCGCTCTCATGTGTTCTCACCACAGAAACTGTGCATTCGCATTGGTACTGCGATGCGTGCGGATGTCACTAGCAAGATCGGCGTCCGCGAATTGTCGCAGCCATACATCTTTTCGGCGATCTCCCACCCAAGAAACCAGGCGGTAGTGAGTCGTGGCTTTCAGGTAGCAGATGATTCGACAGAGGTCAATGTCTTGCTGCTCCGTCCATTTGGCGACGCATGCGGCTGTCTTACAGACGGCATTGGGCAGATCAGGGCGTGCCACCCGCGCGCCGCGCAGGATCTTCATCAAGACTTTCGCTGCAATAAGCTGCAGACTTCACGACGGTGCGGGCGGCTTGGGATCGGGAGCAGGTGGCCCGCCCATGGGAAGGCCACCGACGTGGACCTCGGCATCCGAAGGCCCGACCACGGCGTCTATGCGCAAGCGTTCAGCCAAGGCCTCTTCCGCAGGGGCCAGAATCTCACCCCGCGGGCCGCCCTGGCCGTCCTCGAATGACGTAAGTTTGGGACCGAAAGGCGTGCCCGAGAGAGGATGCGCATCCTGGTCGGTGTCTGCAAGTTCAGCGTAAAGCGATATGCAAGACTTGAAGAACTCCTCCATGTCGTATTCAATACTGCGTACCTTCTTCTTGGGCCCCCGGCTTGCACTCGGGCGTCGAGGCAGGCGGCGACGGCGCCGGGGCCGCGCGTCGCCCTAACCGAGTCCAGCCCTGATCCGCGGGGCTCTGCGGTGTAAAGATGGCTGCCTCAGCATCTCGGTTGTGGAACATGAGGATCATGACCGTATTGTGCATGCCACCGGGGAGCGGAGCTCTGAGACACTCGTTGGCGGCGTCAGCAGATCTGGCTGCCGTGCCTTCTTTGTAACCCGTGTCGTCAAGCTCCTACCATGTGTCGTAGTCAAACGTGATTATGCGGGTAACCCTGCGCCAGTCAGGGCCGCCCGGTAGAGACGCATGGTACCTCGTTGCGTTCGCATTATACCTTAACCACACGCTTTGCCCCCTGGGGACGCGGAGCGATCTGTCGCAATGGACGGGAACCTCGTGCACAGCACGCACGCAGCCGTGGGCGGCCGCTGCAGGCTGTGTGCCAGGATCAGCCGGGTCTTTAGTTTTCTTCTCTTTGGGTGGCGGGGGATCCAACATGGTTGGTGCGACGCCCTGCCAGTCGACTCATTTATCGGAGTCTCTGTGTTCGCATCCAAGATAGCACCCCACCGCAGTCGGGGGATCCATATCGATTCCGTCGGGAGCCGTCTCAGACGGGCTCAAGATAATATCCCATCCTGTCTTCAGGTGTTGAGCAGGGCCAGCGAGCTTGAAGTCGTCTACGTACACGATCAGGAATAGTTCAGACTCTGGATGGTAGTAACAGCTTCGCCAGCAGGGAATCGGGGCAAATCCCTCCGACATAACATGAGTCTCGCAGCGTTGCTCCCAGAACACCCCCGCGTCGGGGTGTCCGTGCAGCGCTGACAGCAAGGGGCAGACGGGGTCTGTCATCCCCGCCCAGCTCTCTGGCCAAGCCTCCATCGGCAAACGCACCCATGTTGGGGTGCCCCCCAACTTCGACTGCGTAAATGCATGCCGTGCATCGGCCTGTTGTATATCATGGTCCTCAAACAGTCCGTACGTGTCGGCAGCTTTGCTGGCCTGTACCGAAGCAGGGCAGCTGGAGAGCTCCTGGAATAGCGCGACGTTCTTGTCCTGGTCGACCACATCCGATCCGTCGAAAACGACCCTCCCATTGAATTTGCGGTCCTTGTGATCCTCAGGAAGTTCGGCGTTCTTCTCAACCAGGATCGCGAACAGGCCTCCGATGTGGAACGTTTTCCCTTTCATCATTGCTTTAACGTCGTGCAGCTCCTTAACTTCTGCCTCGTCCCACGCCTTTATCTTTCTCAATCGGCCCCACTCATCCATTTGTACCTTTTGAGCCTTCTCGTTATTGGCCGCCTCGGCCTTAGAGACAGGGCGGGCGACGCATGCATAGTGGCTCATCAAAGTGGCTCTTCGCTCGGATGGAAGGGTGAAAGCCTCCTGTCGCTCACCGACCTGCATCATGTCCGTGAACGGGTTATAGCAAGGTCGGCAGGCCGGCTCCCTTTCCCGATGACTATCGCGACCCGCAGTCTTCCCCCGAAGGGGCATGCGAGGGGCGACGCGACGCTTGTTCGCAGTGCTGTGCGGTCCCAGTCGCTGTCATCATCGGTACTGGAGCGACGTCCATGGGACGACCCCGTCTCTTCTTCGGTTGCACGCGCTTCTGTGCACCATATCTGGAAGTCTTGTAACGCATCTTCACATATGTCAATCGCCCTCGACGGCGCTGCAGCGGCCATGACATATGTAGGCGCCGGCTTTGGCATGTCGATCCCGGTAGCCTTCAGCAGTTCTGCGTCAGGTCCAGGGTCCTCCAGACCGTAGAAAGCCCTTTTTTCTCTGTTTTGCATTCCTCAACGAGTCTCTTGCGTTCAGGGCCGCCCGTTTTGAACCATCGGTCTGGATGGGCGCCCGGGTTGGTTGACTTGGGTCCGTCTGAGGATGGCATGGTCAAAAACCTCGTCATATACAGCCACCTCGTACGGTCTCCTGTAGAACGGTCTCCTGTAGAACGGTCTCCTCGAAGGTGGGCTGACTTCTGTTTGCCCTTCAGCGGACGAGGCTTCGTAAACTCTTCCATCGTCTTCCCAACAGTCACGACTTGCTCTTCATAGTACTCACCCGTGTCGAGGTTCTGCGTTGTCCTTGTCAGTATCTGTTCAATCTTTGGCTCGCCCCTGGCAGGGGCTGCCGGGAACTTGGCCTGCCTAGCAATGATGACTTCCCTTCTTGCACGGTTCTCGCCGTTCTTCACCGCTCTGAAGTCCACCCTCCTACGTTTGGCGCCCGGGGGTAGTTCTGGGTCAGGTGGCGGGACCGGCGGTCCTTCAACATCCGCCGGGTCGCCGTCGGGTGCGAAATTTAATGCCCCTTCGCCATGGGTGCGATGGTCTTCTTCCTCTTCGCCATGAGCGATAGGAGCGTCTGCGTCCATCATTCCGCCCTCGTGGGAGCTTTGCCCCCCCCCCCCCCCCCCCCGGATGTCGCATGCGGTTTTGCCTGCTTTGTGCCCTCCTCTTCCCCGCCGGAGAGCATCTCTTCTAAGGCGGCGCCCTCCGCGTTCGCCGCGGCCATGTCGCAGGCGCGCCTGAGCGGGAAG